AACTCCTTTCACGAGACTTTCTACAAAAACGCTTGTGAAATTGACAATCCCGATGTCCGGGCCAAAGTACCGATTCTGTTAATTTCTATCTCTGTTTTGTTTTGCTTATTTCTTGTAAGTAAGAGTGAGCTAGGAAACCATGTTGGCAGTCGAGGTACACCCCGTGACAGGTTATTTAGAACCACCATGATGACCAGCTCCCAGTTGGCACGTTAGCTCATTTGGTAGAGCGCTGCACCGGTATCACAGAGGTCATGGGTTCAAATCCCGTACAGGCCTGAATTTTTCTTCAGGCCTTATTTTCACTACTGCCTAAGTAGTGCACATCACTGCGAGGATCACTTTCATTTACGTCTTTATCCGCAGTTCAAATATATGACTTTTATATATTCTTAACCGTCTATTCATCACTTCACGGGTTTATTTAGAACCACCATCATGACCAGCTCCCAGTTGGCTTGTTAGCTCAGTTGGTAGAGCGCTGCACCGGTATCGCCTAAAGGGGGGAGTGTTGCGGATACTAACCCATACTAACCCCCTTCTAACCTATGCCTGTGACCTTTTACACCACTTGTTGGAAACAAGAATTATTGCAGGACCACTTTTACGACCGAACTGGTTGATTATCTCCTTTGTTTGTTTGCTCCTCCCCCGCCTTCTTTTTTTTTCCCGCGCGTAACCTTGAGTGAAGAAGAGGGGGGTGTGCGTTGGTCGAGAAGTAATTTTGGACCACCCCTTCCCTCCCCCTCTCTCCTCAAATAAAACATTTTTGTAATCATCCCTGAGATCAACATATGTATCAATAGAACAAATGGAAGGAGGCTTACGCGTGAAACACTTAGCGGCCACCGTCCGATTTCCAGGTTGTCCATTTGGTTGTCCACACGGCTCCGAACGCCCCTCGTCCGATGACGTCTTGTAGCAGGACACGGTTAACCGCAACCTCCCACTCATCTGCCTCTGCATCCAATGGCTCCATCTGAATTGCCTGCTCTTGGTCAGGACTAAATAGAGGAAGTCAACATTGTATACTTTTAGGTTCAAAACAAAGAAAAGAGAAATCAGAGGGTAAAAATTGGTTTGCGAGGATGACATGATTGGCGAGATAATCTCTCTTGCCGATAGTGAGAAAACAATGTTTTTAATAAACCAAGAACATAAATTATAACAAAACATATCAGTAATTATTGCTATTTAAGTACCCTGTGTCAATCGGATGAAGTTGTTTTTTAAATCAGAAAATTGCACGTGCATTTCAATTTTTTTAGTACCAAATCTAAGGATAAATCTAACCAAAAATAGGTAGAAGATACTAATGAGATAAAAAAATTAAACAAAAGGAACTTATGAAGCTGATTCTAACAACACTTGATGAATGTTAATAATGCATCATAAGCACGATAAAAGTAAAGTCACTGCGATATGATTTTTGTTATCGTCATCATGCAATGGTGTAGTTTTTTTCCTCTTTCGATGAATTTGATGAATAAAAGGTAAAATAGTTACCTTACAGAGCCATAGCTGCAATTCCAAATGATGAATTAAAGGGGATAAAGAAGGTAAAACTTTGCATTAATTTATCAGATCGAATATTCTAATCAAATTTCTGTGTAATGGCAGTATAATTTGAATTTGCACAGATTAGGAGGGACGTGATATTTGTTGAATTTATAATTATTTTCAACACACGGTTAAAAATAATGGAAATGATAATGATATCATTTACAGATGTGAAAAAACTCTGCAATTAGCATTTTTTGGCGGCATGCGAGTGATTTTTATAAAAATATCTCTACTCTTAGACTCTTAGCTCAGTGTATCCCACCCCCCTCAGTAAACGTATTCAACAAGTTTAAACATTTCCTTATTTTCTTAAAAACCAAATACCTGAATTTCACAGAATTTCATGTAAATGGGGTAAGGTGACCCATATTTATTTCGTCTTTAACTGAAAAATAGTTTTAATCTATTTGCAAATATATTTTTTTAATCGGTAAAGTCGTATGTTTTTTTAAGACACAACGGTAACTCCAGCTTACCTTTGACGTTTATTTTAACAAAGGAATGGGAAACAAAAGCGAGCTTGTTACATGCCTCACAAGAATGCACACCACTGTCCTCCTTCACAACATCAGTTATATCAAGTTAACTCTTTTTGTCATCGAATCGTGTATCAATCTTTGCTCTTTCGGGTGGTGAGTCTCCATCGTTTTTCCAAGTTATAGTTATTGTTTCACTAATGAAAATTTATCATAAGATCATGACTCCTTAGTTCCTTGGTCTTCAATATTTTAAAGGAAACGGATGAAAAGAGAGAAAAAATAGGTCTATTTAAATTTGGCTTAAACTTCAAAAACAAACGCTTTGTTAAGTTACAAGTTTGGTAAATGACATAAACAACAATATAGAGTTTACCTGTCACATCGATCCAGAAGGAAGATTTTGCTTCAATATCATCATTTTTAGCAGTACATTCATAATTGCCTTTATATTTAAGCGTCGCTTGTCTAATGACCAGGGTGTGGTTTTTACTAATTAGCACTCCATCTTTGGTCCAGTTGACAGATACTTTTGGATCACCTCCCAAATAACACTCTTCTTTAAATGGGGAGTTAAATGCAATGGTGAGATTTCTGAACTCTTTAATACGGGGTGGAACTGCAAAGTAAGCATGTAAACACAAATTACAAAATTAGAAGCCACCCCAATCCCCCCCCCGCAAAAAGAAAAAAAAAATAATAAAAAGAATAAATAACAATTAAAAAGAAGAAGAAAAAGAAGATGAAAATGAACCACTTTTTGATCATATCAAACGAATGCTTCCAAAAACCATGTCAGTCAGACTATATTAATAATTTAACCATGAAATCATTAAATTTTTAGAGCGGGAACACAGGAACAATTGTAAAGACTTTCCAGTTCTTCGCAATAAATAACTAATCAGGACCTCGTCCTCACTGGTGAATCAGTCGCAGGTAATAGCTGAAAGCCCTTGTTTTTTTTTTTCATTTTTCTGATGATTTTCTGCGATGACCCTACCCTTAGCTCAGACCCAGATCCCTTAACTTAGAATCGGGCCCACTGATTATTGATCCACACTCCGTAGACATTTCAAATGCATAATTGATTTATAATACGGTTGTGAGCTTTACGAACATACCTTTACAGAAATGTTAACGTCTTTGGTGGAAGAGCCTGCTGCATTTTTTGCCCTACATGTGTATCACCCTTCGTCCTCCTTTGTTATCTCAGGAAAGAAGAGAGATAAACTATTTCCTTTAAATGTATTATCCTTGAGCCAGATGATCTGAGGTTCAGGCCGACCCGCTTCAACTTTACACGTCAAGTTCACACTTTCTCCTTCTATGATGCGATCACGTGCTCCAAAAATATCCACTTTTGGTCGAACTAAGGGGTAAATAAATAACAAGTCCTTGGAAAATAGGAGGTATTCCAGTATCATTTACACTGATCACATTAGACACCATAATTAAATGAACATTTGATAATGACACTAGCGCTTTATAGGAAGTATAATCGTTTGTCAGATCGCAGACCTTTCGAACTTCGTATTGAGGTCTAAATACTCCTATTATCTCGGACCAAATTACGAAAGACAGAAGGCGCAGCCATGGGGAGTATGGTCTCCACCGTAATTGCTAATCTACACATAGAGAGTTATAGGAGCAATCGATATCCTACCAGCGAAGGATCTGGAAACGCTATGTGTATGACATTCACAATCTTGGTTCGCGAAAACGCTGATAGCTTGCTACAGCATTTGAGGAACCGAAAGCATTCCATTCACTTCACTGATGTTACAAATAGTAACAACACACTCGCCATTAATAGCACTGCAAAAATCAAGAGCCAGTGGTTTGCAAGATTCCCTATGAGTACGCCAAAGTTTACATCTGCGGAACAGGCAAACCTATGCAAGTAGAGAAGAAACATGGATGCTGACCACAAGAAACACAAGAAACAGGATAATTTTGCAACAGTAGACTCCACAAGAACATTTGGTCAAAGCGTGCCAATCGAAGCCTGTGTGGGATTCCAGCCAATCACAGCTAAACAGAGAGTTTCAGAAGGTCATGCATATCTACCGACCTTATAGTACGAAGAAGACACAATATTCAGTCAAAAAGTCGCGATCCATATCCAAAGTGACTTCATGGCGAGACAAACGATTATACTGCATTCAGAAAGTGAATTTGTCACCACGACCAACCGAAGTCGATTTAAGCACATTACCAGAATGAAAAGAAACTATAAACTTCATCAAAGGGGACTTACCTTGAGTTGTGACGAGGAAACCACACTGTTGACAAATAACTTAAGTATAATTTTTTCAACATGACACCCTGCTTTCAAAGAACTAAAATTAACAAACGTATTCACGATAAAATGTCGCCTCACATGGCTGCGGATATGAACAGCGAAAAGGTTTTGAAATTGAGTAAATTAAATCAATAACATTTGAAGAACTGACTTTATGACTTTCTATATATTATCTCATTGGTCACTCACTCATAACTGTCACTTGTATGTTTTTATCTTTGCTTGTGACCCTCTTTGGTCCTTTAGTTTGTTTCATGGTACAGGTGAATGTTCCATTGTCTTCAGGCTTTACAAAACTAATACGCAGGCTGCCGTTGGATACTTGAGTGAATCGTCTCGTATCTATGGACTTTCCTCCTTTCTTACTCCAAGATATCTGTGGACTTGGTTTTCCATCAGCACTACAGCTTATAATGCCAGACGTATACGCAGTAAAGGTTTGCTGGCCCAACGTCTTCTCAGTAAATCTTGCTGTTGAAAGGAGTAATGAAAAGCACTAATATTATAGCTACACTTTTGAAAGGTCAGAAGTGTACTTGTCTTACATGACATTGTCCTGCATGTTAAGCCTATTTCTACAAGATAAAAAGATGTGTTTTCATACCATTAATATAGACAATGTAATATTGAACATGTTCCAATCTCTGGCATTCATATACTCATCCATCAGACAGTTGCACATCATCAATGACCAGATCACCATTATCTTCAGCCCTGATCCTTCGAGAAGAAGAGTTTGTTATTTCAAGCTTTTGCCCATTGATGACCCATCTAGCATGATTGGTTGTATTGTGTATTAAGCGGTGAAGCCGTTCTTTGGTATAAATATCAAAATAGAGTTCATCTCTAAGCAACACTTTCTTGTTCTCTGCAAAAAAAGGTTCAATTTAGATGATGTCAAAATAAGTAAATTTTTTTGTAATTAACACTACAAGAAGGGATACAAAAGATGCATATATTTACCTGTACTAATGCTTACATTGAGAAATGTTTTGAACTTTGTCGTACTTAAAACTGTTACATTACTCCAAACAAAATCATGTTAGCCGTTATTAAAGTAATGTAACCTTTGAACAGAATTGTATTGCATCCAAAGAAGTTATGAAACCCATTAAAAAAATTGGTAACCCTTAACTGAAGTCAGATAATCTTAAGCTGTCATATTACCTTCTTGACAGTCATGTACACCTTAGCTAACGTTATTCCGCCTCAAGACCAAACTGAATCATCTATAAGAAGGGTAAATTCCTTAAGAAACTGTGGTGCTGCGTCTGTGGGGAAGTATAGCACCCGCTCTGACGAAGAGCTAACGCTCGAATTTTAGCTTTGAAACTCTTTACGGAGGCAAATTTACCTTATCAACTAAGTTGAAGAAATCAAAATCATCTAAGTTATTTTAAGCCAATTCATGTTACCCTAAACTAAGTCATGTCATCCCCAGTCAAAGTCATGTCACTATCTAAAGCGTTAAATCTGCGAACAGATATATGCTTGTCCACTAGTCATACTTTACCAGAATGTTTTTAGAAATGGTTTTCTGGTCTTCTGTAGATCTCAATTTACTCTGATTTTCCTCCACTTCAGAAGGTCAATGGGAAGAAAAAGACAACCACTAAAACCGGAATCACTAATCAGGCCTAAACATTTAGTTACTTACTTGGTTGACACAACGCTTGAGAACCTTCGCCATCCGATTGACATTGAGATGGAATATTTAACTTTCCATCAAAGCGATCGCATGATGCAAGTTCTGACTCCTCTCCGGTGCAAGAGACATCGGACATTGCAAAAGGTATTCCCTCATCCTTTATGTCTGACCCAATAAATTCCGCCAAAGCCTCTTCAAAGCCAAGTTGACGACAAATAACTTTGACATCATCTTTGAAATCCCACTCATTCCTGCATATCTTCGCCCATTTCCTCTTGTAAAATACTTCCACTCTTCCTCCATACTCCACATTTGCGACTTTCAAGCGAACTTATGAAACTTATGAACAGGAACTTATGAAATAACAAAAATTCGAATTTATAAGGATGGAAATCACTAATTATCGAGAAGCAAGAATGGCTATAAATCACAAAATGATAAATAGTTCATCAAGTTTTTTGTTTTAAGTGAAATTCTGGGTACAAATTATCGTTTGTTGTCTGTGTGAATCACGATGTTTTCATAGTTTCCTTGCTGCGATGTTTCCGACGGACCTCTTTTACATTGCTTCGTGACTTTGCTTCAAATTGTAAAACTCATCATTTACGCTAGAAACCAGATTTTTTTGGGAACAATTTTAGAATATTTAAGACGTGTTTTCTTAGCCTTAAAACGTTTACTTTCAGAAAACACAATAGGTTGATTTACATTTTAAGCTAGAACGTCATTTTTAAAGCATTTATCAAGGAAAAAATTGAGAAAGAGGTGTTTAGTTAAGTACGACTGAAGTAAAAAATTGTGAAATTCCCTAATTGCACGAAAGAGAGAGAAAAAGGAAACTAGAAGCATGCAATAGTTTCAAGGAAACTTAGTGGAGGGTTTAGAGGTTGTGAAGTTCATGGAACTCAAATGCATGACTGCGCAAACGTCTTAGGATGTAAACAGTAGAAACAATTTTTAGCGTAAGATACCTTTTTAGAACCAAAAAGATACCCGAAGACGAACAATCATTGTTCTCGGGAAAGTTTTCATCTCTGGAGTGTGAGTAAATCTATCAAGTTACCATCTTTGGAAATCATGTGGATATTACATGAGTGCAGTTCATTATTACCTTTGCAGACTTGTTGTTTCTTTACCACGTTGTTTTGACATGCGGTCGGAATTGCACAGTTGTAGTCGGTGGACATTGAAGCATTGCCACGTTCTGCGTACCATGTTTCATTAGCATAAACACCATTGTTAAAGTAGCCCATAGCCATGCAGATTGAATTTTTTATCTGCTTCATCCCATTAACTGGTACAAAGCGTTTGCCAGCTGCTTTTTGAGAATATCTCCATTGTACCGACAGATGGGTTCCTCTTTGTTTCAAAACGCAGGGGAAATCCTTCTAAATATTCAACAACAAAAAATTGATAAATAAGGATGAAAATAAACAGCGTGGACTACTTCAGCTCGTGTAAATTCTTGTGTTGATGATGTTCCCATATAATTACCTAGAAACAGAGGTCCTAGCATTGTTGAAAATTTTATTTTCAGTTTTGTGGTGGAAGAATTTCCTGTGTAGCTAACTTGATTTTCTTTACCCGAAAGTCAATGCCAAAACGTTATTTAGTATCTGAGACCCTCGCATTATTAAACATGTTTCTTGTCGAATTAATAAAGAGGGTAAGTTTCCAAAGAAACTGTGGTGCTGCGTCGGTGGGAGAGTAGAGCAGGTAATTTATTGTTAACAACTAAGTCGAAAACGTAAATTGACCACCGTAATTGGCCAAGAATAAAATAGCTAACGTTTAGAGCTCTAACCCCTCATCAGAGCGATTAGAGGAATGGTGGGTTGCATGTGGTTTTATATGCAGCAAATGGAGCTACGCTATTGGTGGGAATATGGTGACGAGAAAACAGAAATAAATTAGTTGAATGAAAAGCGCTCGTGGACACCGTGGGGATTAAGTGTGCCGAATCGGAAGATAAATTTTTGTTCAAGTATTTTGCGACCTTCCGAACTGCCTAGATGTAAGGAAAGATCGCAAACTGCATATGTTGTTTAGAATGATTAGGGAGTAAAAGTGTCCAGCGACTGGTTTGGATGAAGGTATGGTTCTCGGAATCGGTCACCTAGTCGTCTAACTGTTTCACTAATTTATTACTTATTGCAATAAGTGCAAGTTATGCAGTAAATGACCTTGGCGGAGGTACACGTAAAGTGATCAGTGATCTAAATTGATCTCTTGGGTCCTGATATTTTCTCAACGTTATGAGTGAAAGGACAAGTTTTGCATCGTGAGTGAGCGCATTTGAAAGTTCCAGATTGGTCATTGGTTTGAAATTAACTCTGACCAAAAAGTTACCTATGTTTTTGTCACGTTTGAATGAAGTAAGTGGGGTTGCGACAAGATAGCATCAGTCTCTGAATCTTTTTGGAGTAATGAAAAGTTGATAGAATGATAGATTTAACCGCGTGGTTGTGAGGGTGAAATGTAAGAGTGAAATGTGAGAGTGAATGGAATGCAGTCCGCAGTGTTTTCCTTCTCAGCCGTTTGTAGAGCTGACTGTCGATCAATTTGTTGGGCACGGTGATGGCCCGCTTGAACGACAGAAACAGGATAGCCACGTTTATCGAAAAACTGTCTCGTTGCCTCTGAATTTTCGGAAAAATTAGGGTCGTCACTACATAAACAACGAAGTCTGAGAAACTGTGAAAAGGGTATGGAATTATTAAAGTGCGATAGATGTGAAGATAAATACAACAAGTAACTGTGTGAATCTGTAGGTTTGTAGTAAACACTAGTGCATAAATCTTTGTCGTCAATTGAAATTTTGATGTCTAGACGTCATGCTGAAAATAAAGCCACACACAACCCACAATTCCTCAAATCGCTCTGACGAAGGGCTAACGCTCGAAACGTCAGCTTTTTTACTCTTTGGGGTGTCCAATTTACGTTTTCAACTCAGTTGTTAACGCTTAATTACCTTCTATGTTTCTTGTCAGTAGATGATAGCATCACCGGCTTTAAAAAAAAGGTATTGCTACGGGTAGTCCAACGACATTCGTAATCGCCATTGCTCAGATAGTGCAGACATCTTAGAGAGCGACCACAATTATCAGCGAAAACTTGTGCCTAAAATTTAGTACCTATTGTAATACTAATGATGGTGGAGATTTGTTTTGTCTCTTTCAAGAAAAGTATGGTGTATTCCGTACATGTACAGAGTTTGTACATATATGAAGGATTTCTGACTTATAATGACTTTTAATAATTTGTGCATTTCACATACTTGGCCTGGATAATTATGTGATTAAAGTTCAAACTCAGAAGTTCCGTTCATTTGTTTTTGTTCTAACTTTTATTCCTGTATTTGTTTATTTTTGTTACAACAAAGAAGTTTTTAGCCACGGAAATTAAAAAAGCTGCAATTTTTATGTTGTCTTCAAGACAACTGGACATGTTGCTACATCCTCTCAGGAATGCACCGGTCCCATCGCAGTGTTTCCCACCATATGCTGGTTCTGGACTGGTGCTGTGTCTCTTTCTTTTTTAAATACCACCAACTGCCTTGGTACAGTTACTCCAGGAGTTCCACTGACTCCAGCCACCATCCACCACTACAATGTTGTAAGCGAAAACATTTGATAAATAACCATAGACGACATGTTTGGATCATTTATCATAATAAAGTAAGACGGTGCTGCAGTCTATATTTCTACCTTTCTCTATAATTACTATGAATTTTCAAGCTAACATTTGGTTATGGTAAGCTCATTAATTTGGTATTTAGCGATGCTGTAGGGTTTGCAATAAACTTATCGAGATACGCTTGTAAGTGCAAAAATATAATTTGAAGGTGATAATGCGACGCGACCTTTATTCTCATGTTGATAGTTTCCAAACAGACCCCGTCTGTCTGGAAACTGCAAGACGGTTGCAAGAGAGAAGTCAGACTGTAACAAGGCTATTTACCACACTGTAGCCAAGCTGCAACACAACAGAGGTAAGACTTCTGACACCCCGAAGAACAACAAGGGAAGGATTGGTAAAAAAAAAGCACCATAAGCAGTTTCTGTCACCCACCCCTTTTTTTAAAACATGGAAAAGGAGAACAGGATGTCTGACTTCTCTCTTGTCAAAACGTCTGACTTCTCTCTTGCTACTGCTTTGCAGTAGAAAGACAGTAGCAAGAGAGAAATCAAACTGCAACAAGGCTATCACTACAATAAAGCTAAGCTGCAACACAACAGAGGTAGGACTTCTGACACCCCGAAGCAAAACTAAGGAAGGATTGATAAAAAAAGAAAAGAAAAGAAAACCATGAGCAGTTTCTGTCACCCTCCCTTTTTCAAGAAATGCAAAAGGATAACTGGATATCATGACTGCGAAGCAAGGTTACCCGTCAGGGAAGGAATACACATCAAGGAAAATTTGTCTTTAAGAATATTTAAGGAACTTAGCTTCCACTAAAGAAGACATGCAGACAAGCCTTTTTACAGGAATAGCAGGCTCAATAATAATAGCAATTCCTTTGAAAAACATCATGACACGGAGGAGAGAGAAGGGAGGAGATAGAAAGGGTTGTGGCCATGACGATGGCAACTGAGTGGCAGTTGAATGAAATCTGCTGTTTTAGATATCTATCAGCAGCATCGAATAAAAGTTAAAAGAATGTTACAACAACAGAACATGACCTAACAACACAGACAAATAAACAGAATTTCCAACACACTTAACATGAAAGACAAATATCAACAATGTCACATAATTTCACTGTAGAGCACCGTACATATGATAACCCTATGAATTAACATGCATATTTCATTTCCTCTCAATTTACTAAATTGTTACCCTATCCAGTCATTTTATAATTACATTTATCATCATCATTTATAACAAATCAACAACAAAACAAATTTCACTCCACATGCAACAACACAACATATCACACCAGTAACAAAAAAATGACGTTAACTATGACTTTCCTGTGTAACAACTTTCTCCATCACAGATACCATGCACCATTTCAGCAACACCAGGTATTATTAGAGTCATATGCAAAACAATATTTTTACTAATTCAACTGGTAAAACCAGTAATAAAGATTTGCAAACAACATATGCTACACATATTTTATGTCAATTACATCATCTAGGAGCTAACCAAGGTCCCGTATATGAGCTAAGGTACGACGAGATATGTCACGCAATACGACTGAACGACTGAGAAGACGTTACATATAGAATGATGCAATTTGTTTTGCTCCTTCAGAATTTTATTTGTACGTGTCATCTATCTTTATTTAGCTATTTATACATGTGAAATTAGCAAGGAAAAAAGGGCAGTCTAGTGACAACACCTAAATCTCTAAGGTATATATTACATTATTAAATCTGAAGATTTCTCTTCTTAAATCTGATGATTTCTCTTCAAACCTACAGAAATATATTTGGATCATTTGTTACAAAACTCATTTTTTGCAATAGACCCGAATCAGTCAGTCCATAGTCAAGAGCAGACTGCAGGCACAACCGGCAAAGAACCTTAGCAGTTTCTCCAGACTTTACATTTAGCCTGGTTATTAGTTGGTCTTCTGTAGAATTAGTCCAGTAAGAAAGAGAAGTTGTGTTAGTATCAATTACTTTACATCATACAGCAAGTATACATCAACAACTCCCATCTCTTGCTGTAAACCTGTTTACTAACCTGTAAGTACGAAGCCAAGCTAAACGACAGAAAAGCATACAAATTCATTTGATACAATTTTATCACATTTGCACAAGCAGGAAACGATGCACTAAGTGAACAACTCCTTAGAAAAGAAAACAACGAAAACAAGGGCATAACACTCCATAAGCATTCGTGATTCTGAAGCATTAACGATACATCGAACAGACGTATTTCTCACAGCGTAGTCTCCTTCTTTACGGGGCCGTGTGGGGTCTCTAGATGTCGGCGATGCATTCCTTGCGCCAGGCTCTCCTTGGTGTCACCATAGCGGATTTCACACTCGCACGCAGTCAAAATGGGTAGCACTAGTCAAAGAAAGACCTTAACAGTAAATATCCTCAAATTAAGACTACTAAAACAGTCGATTTCGACAATACTTAGCTTTGAAACGAAGCCGAACTTTATTAAGTTTTGCCGTTTGGTGTGGTACTTGGTTCTCTCGCTGGATGCGAGCAAAGTTCTCAACTTGTTGTGGAGAGAAAAATATCAGGGCTAGAAGCAATTTCGCTTCCTTCACCTGTGGTAAGAGTCAGGGATAATAATAGGTCATCAGTTTCGTGTGATTGAAGTACTTCGACCAAAAGAGCAAAATAGAAAACAGTTTACAGAAAACTACATGTGCGACAATTCAAAGCACATTTGAAAGGTACAGACTCATACAATAATCCGAAGAAGTAAACAAAGGAAAGAAAATAAACAACAACGGTAGAGAGATAATCGAGTACATCATACCTGTGTAGTCAGACGTAGCGCTCTCCTCGTGCACAACTGTTTCTAGTGTTTCAGCGGGACTACTTTCTCCAGGGGGTGGACGACGTGCTTGATTTGCTAATTCTGAATTTAAAGCTTCCATATCCGGGATCTTTGGGCTGTGAATACCTTTCAGAAACTCTTGCCCTGACATAAAAACAGATGCCGCTTCTATTAACACGACAATTGAAATCGTTTTACAAGCTCAAGCTAATAACTCCATTTTTTCTACATGCACTAACTTGTTGACAGCTTCATACCTGATCTCGTCACGAAATAGGGAGGAAATTCTTTGTATCTTATGATGACGAAAACAGCCCTTCACTATCACAACCAAGACCGACGCGATAAAATCCGACCCCGCCAAAAAGGAAACAAGAGAGCAGCCCACTAAAACAAGACCTTTTAAAGCGAGGTTTAAAGAGAAAATGCAAAGATCTTAATGCTTTGGAGGCTAAAATAGCCAAAAATGACCAATCTATCAAAAAACTTTAGAAATATTGAGAAAATTGGACTCGTCCGATCTCTTTGCAATTCGGCGAAGCCAAACATCGCGCCGGACATAATCTACGATAGAGAAGTAAAAGAAATAAAACAACAAGCTCAAGCTAGCTTTCACAGAAGAGGGCTAGAGAGGCAAAGAAAAAGGGTTAACTAAGAACTCTCAGCTCGTAAGAACAAACACGTAAATAGGCAACTTCTCAAAGGAAAGCGCTCGTTATAAAATTCAGTGATTAAATAGCCAAATTAAGGAATGAGAATTCTGACCTTAAGAGCTTATTCATACACCTACAAATAAAAGAGATGAAAAATATGTTTGTTTGTTAAGCAGTATACTATCTAGATTGACGAAGAATAAATACATGGGTAGCCGTTAATCACACCCCAGAGCGCGCGTTGGTACTAGAACCTTAGAATGTGATGTAACCATGCACGAGTAACGCAACGGTGACATGACATCCCCCCTTGTCAAAAAAAATTTTATATACAAATACAAACAAATAATGTCTGTAACGTCAAAGACAAAATTAATGTGACCGATCGTTCAATAATATAAAGATAAAAACATGAACAAGAAGAAAAATGTTCCATAAGCGAGGCACTGAGGGTATGGAGTGCTCTTGTGAGGTTGTACTACGTTAGCCCACTTTCTAGTAAAGTTCGTTGTGATTAAACTTCTTTGCCTTTCGGGGCATTGTCTGTTATACGACGTACTGGGATGCCGTGGCCGGCAGAGTGAGTGTTTATCAGCTGGTCCAATTCATAGAAATCACTGTAATGGTCTACGGTGATTAGGTACTGCTTCTGTTGGAACTCAAATATATCTTGCGGGATGAACTGCCAAGGTCGTGTAGGGACAGGATGGGATAGTATAGGCTCAGTGACGGCTTGCTTTCCATACTAGGGCATGACTGGCAATATGCATCTATGTCTTTAAACATGTTGGGCCAGAAAATTGCATCTCGAGAGAAACGAAGGCAATGTTCTGGTCCCCCATGGCATTGGTGGATTTTGCTCAGCATACTTGGTCTGAGAGAAGTAGGGATGATGGTGCGAGTAGAATTAAGAAGAATACCATTTGCAATGCTGAGTTCTTCACGAAAGTGCCAAAGTGCTTGGAGTTGATGGTGTGGGAGCTTCTTAGCAGGTGGCCAACCGTGGAGGGCGTAATGCTGCAGCAATTGCATGTCTGGGCATGATGACGTAGCATTGTAAAGTTGCTCGCAAATGGTATCGGTGAGGGCCGGCGAACGCCGGTGAGGGCCGGTGAGGTGAGGTCCAAGTGAGCAAGATGAACGTGAAACACATGGATGCTGTCCGGCTTCGTCTTGACATGTGGATCTGGATTGGAAAGAACATTTTCGGTACACAACAGTAAGGTTGTAACGTGTAGGAAAAGCGTCATCTTCTGCAGATGTTTAGGCGCTGAGGCGAGGTCCATCTTGAAGATTGGCTGAAGTGGTTGATGGTCTATACGGACTGTGTGTTAGATTTTCCCAAAAGCCATGGGTGGAATTTTTTGATGGCTTCGACAATAGCCAGGCGCTCTTTTTCGATTTTGCGCTGCTCGGTGGTGGTTAGGCCTTCTACTGTACGCAGTGGGTCGTAGAGAAGACTTCTCAAGGGCACTGCTATTGTGTAGTATGATGGGCTGTAAGAGGGCAGCTCCCAGGCAGTAAAAACCCGTCCCGACACCATGTTAAGCAGTATGCTTTCTATATTGACGGAGAATAAACACGCGGGCAGCCATGATGAACTAGTTTATTCTCACCCACTTAGCACGCGTTGATACAGGAACTTGAAAATGTGATGTAATCATATCTGAGTGATGAAATAATAACATGACATGTTCTCTTACTCTAAAAAAGCTGGCTTTAACAACAACGGAAGCAGAACAAAAAGCATACGAAGCAAAGAACGTAGGAACTCTTTAAAATATAAGCTTTCGGCCAAAGAAAGGGAGACAAATGAATCATTCCAAAAAGATCTCTCAAACTATCATATTTCCGACAGTCAAGTCAGTGTGCTATCAAAGGGTCTCAAATTCATCCCAACACCCGTGACCAACCAATGTAAAATTCGGCAGCAACTCTTATGAGATTTTGTAGAATTCGTAAGACGAATGCGCCTTCAATAAATCTTTCACAGACAATACAAAGAACCACTTCCGTTCCATGTTAAATCAAACGTGAGGCACCGGTTCAGCTTTCTATTGCCCTTTAGAGAAATGTAAAAACACAACTTGGGGAGATTACTGTAACTAAGCCAAAAAATTATTTGTCACGCAATGAGGTGATGGCTTTAAAAAACCCTGCTTTAAACCTCAAAAAAGCAGACAAAGTTACAACGTCATCATGAATAAGACAGAAAAAATAGAAAAGGCCAAAGTGCAACTCGACAACAGACTTCACAACAAGCCTCTCAAACACATTAATGACATCAGTCGGAAATGGCTTTCACAAACTCCCAATCCACCTAGAACGCCAGTATTCCATAAGCTCTCGAAAATACACAAAGTTATACCGGTCGTGAAAATATCGTCTTTTGTGGAGATGTTACTCTAGCCCATGGCCAATGCAACAATCCCATAGGATATCACTACTTTTATCAACTTCTTAGAAAAAACAAAGCTAGGCAAATATGCTATTGTAGTATCCATGGACGTTTCTAGCTTGCATACAAATATATCTCACGAAGGAGGAACGAATATAGTATGTGAAGCATTTGAAAAGTTCAACAGCCACAATGCACCGATCTCAACGCAATACCTCAGGGAAATGTCTGTCTTAATTCTTCAAGAAAATTCGTTTCAATACAATAAGGTAACTTTCCTGAAACATATCGAACCGCTATGGGTACGAAAATGGTTGAAATTAAAACGAAAATAATCCAACAAAGCAAAACCAAGCCAAGAGAATGGAAACGATATATTGATAACGTTTTCTCCCTTTGGGATTGAGACAGGAAAGAGATAGATCAGTTTATTAAACGAACTTACTATTTCCAACAAAACTTGTCTAATTATCTACGCCAAGCGAAGCAAACGATCCCACCGCCCTTGCCTATATTACGCAAATTGTTGTGCCTGCTTCCATCTTTCTCTCATATTCTGTGGAGACATTGAGCTAAACCCTGGCCCAAAGAAGTCCCAAAAATGTCAAAATGTGAGCAGACCTTAAAGAAAAATCAGAAGCAAATAAATTGTAAGTCTTGCTTTGATCTTCTCCACGTAAAATGCGTTTGCCTATCAAATGATATCACGACCACTCAAAATAATTTCAAACGTACCTGATGCTTGTGGACTGAGTTGATTTTCCATGCACATCACGATTTTTATTATAAGGATCATGAGCTGTTTTCTAGCAGTGAAAACCCTTCTAACATCTCAGCAACACTGGATCCTGGCCCAGACGAGCACTTGCAATCTCTCATCATGAGACCGAAACACCTAAAGGTGATGCACCTCAATACAAAAAGCATGGTTTCAGCATTTGATGAACTCCTTCTAAAAATAAAGCAATATCCGTTTGACGTGATAAGCATGAGTGAAACCTGGCTAAAGGAAAACCCTCTTTTACTGAAACATGTGACCATACTGGGCTATAATTGCGAATTTAGAAGCCGTAATTCCATCAGAGGTGGAGGTGTGGGAGCTTACATAAAGGAAACTCCGACCTATAAACGTAGAAGTGACATCGAGGCTAAAGAACTCGACCTTGAACATCTGTGGCTTGAATTTCCCGGTAGAAATAAACATAGCAAGCTTTTTGTAGGAACAATGTATCGTGCGGAAGGAATGCTAACCTCAACGGAATGGCTGGGATGGTCTTCTAGTTGTGACAGGAGACATCAACATAGATTTACTCAGACCAAATAAACCTATAACTAGCCAATATCAAGACATATTATCTTCACTAAACTTACATCAACATGTACATAAACCAACCAGGAAAACAGACAAGACGAGCACACATCGATCATATAATCTCCAACTTTCTAGAAAGTATTCCGCACACAGATGTTCTTCCATGTCCACCAGTCAGCGATCACGACGCCGTCTACGCAACTATTAACACCAAAGTTACCAGACTCCAAATAAGGCACAAATTCATCAGAAATTTGAAGAACTTTGATGAATCTTCTTTCATTGAAGACTTTGAAACACTACCATTTGCAGCCTCCTTTGCAGTCTCCGATCCGGATGAAAAGCTCGAAATATTAAGTTCATTGCTCTAGGAATGTATCGATAGGCATGCACTATCAAAATTAACGAAGGTCACTCGACCACCTGCACCGCAGGGGTGGATCCAGGGTAGTTTACCTGATTTCCGGAACTCACTCAAATTTTTTCCGACCTAGTTAAATGTTGATAAAAGTACTTTTGAAAAACACTCTAATTTCCCTTTGGAAACTACTGATACTTTGGTGGAAATCACTAAACGTCTTCCAGAAATAAACCGTCTTCCTGTTTTACAGTTATTTATTAAAGAAAATACGTTTAGAATGACTAATTTCGTTATAATTGCGGTCATGAGGCGTTCGGGAGCGCTTCGGATCACGCGCTGGCCTTTCGAGCTTCGATTACACCTCGGAAACCGTCGGAAGCCGTCGGAAAATGTTCGTGGAGCCAATCTTTACGCAACCGGTGGGTGTAAGTCCTTGTTATTTGGTGACAATAACAGGCGGAACACAGTCAAAACCCCTCACGATTGGCTAGCAAAGATTTCGTCATCGGAACTCACTCAAAACACTCTTCTGATTGGCTAGTTGTGTTTGGAAACTACCTTGGAAACTACTGACAAAGTATAAAAAGGGCAGTTCCTTCCCCAGCGGGTCTCTTTCGTTGCTCCTACAATACTAGTGTTATGACTCGCGGAGATCCTGTTTGTCGGAGGGAGGATTTTTCTCCCTTAGACATTGGCCTAGTTTTCGACGAGATCCACAACTACTCGCCGCATCAGAAGCTGGAGTTCGTCGAAAACGTGTGGAAACCAGGTGAGCTTTTTGATTTCCCCGTGTCAATGGAAAATGGAAAATCTCGTAAGTTTGTCTCGGGCTGGCTGAAAAGATTTCCATGGCTAGCTTACTCCAAATATTTCGATGGAGCATTTTGTTTAGCTTGTGTTTGTTTTGGAGTTCAGTGTGGGCGAAACGCTAATAAGTTAGACAAATTATTGAAGTCTCCTCTCACAAATTGGACTTCGGCCGCTTCTCGCTTAACCAAACACTCGCTAGGAAATTGTGAAATTCACAATTTTTCTATGACTGCTATGAATGATTTCAAGAGAATGATGCAAAGAGGAGCTGTCCTAATATACCAGCAGTTAAATAACATAGTTCAACAGCAAATCGCGAGAAATCGGGAGATTCTAAAGTCCCTTTTCAAAACTATTATTTTCTGTGGGAAAAACAACATCCCACTCAGGGGGCGGAGAGATGATGATCAATCTCACTAGAGTTTTTCTTGACCATGTACTCCAGCAGCTCAACACCAGATTCCAGGATGATGTATTTATTTGTTTGCTATAAAGGTATTTCGATTATTCCCTCTGTTTTACTAGCTACTGACCCTGCCTGGAAGGCCAATGTTTTGGAATTTTGTAACCATTACAGACAGGACATACCAAATTATGCAGGATTACAGGCAGAGCTTTTGTTATGGGAGAGATTGTGGAGGGGAGGGATAACAGAGGAGATATTATTCCTGACAGTTTGGAGGCTACACTGAAGGATATTGACAAAGATGCATATGTCAACATCTATTTCATGCTGAAAGTCCTGATCACAATTCCAATTTCATCTGCATCTTGTGAGAGATCCATATCATCCCTTCGGAATCTTAAGAACTATTTGAGAAATACAATGACCCAGGACAGACTGAATGGATTGGCACTGATGCATGCCCACAGAGACATGGATTTTGACCTTGAACGTATAATAGATTTATTTGCTGAGTTACATCCTAGGAAAATGAGAATGGCAAACATTTTGTAATAATTTTTGCACCAGCTGTTTCTAGAGTACTTGTGAGTTATGTTCTGTCTGGGTTATGGCCTTTAAGTCTCATAATCCTTAAACTGATGGAGAACAGTACAGAAGCTAAAACTGGTGCCTGTATAACTTTTTTCAACTCATTTCAAGGTTATTTTCTATTTTGTTTTACTTGTGATGATTTTCCATTGACATTGACATTGGGTTTTCATGTTAAGCTTAAATGGTTAACAAACATTTTCACTGAACTCAACCAGCTTCACAGCAATTCCCAAGGATGAAGAAAGGCTAGTATTATTTCAAATTATCATTTTACTTCAATTTGTATATCATTTTATGATTCTTATAATTTATATTTTTCTAATAATTGTTTTATTTTTTGAATTCCAGCTCCCAACACAGGCTAACCATCCATAAAGCCCTTCTCTCTCTCTCAAATTCTTTTCTGTGTTGTGCTCCTATAAATGAAATGAATAAAAGCCAGCTCAGGAAATGTTGTTTTTAGTGTTGCTAAACATTTGGATTTATTGAGCCTGGCTTTCATTCATTTCATTCATTGTAGGAGCACAACACAGAAGAAATTTGAGAGAGAGAAGGGCTTTATGGATGGTAAGCCTGTGGTCCCAAGGATGAAAAAGGCAAGTAGATTTTTATTATCAATCTTTAAACTATATCATCAATAGTGCTTGTTTTTCTTTTGTTATCAAAAACACTAACACTTGGTTCGTTTTTTTTTCTCCACATCTTGATTTTCCTGACTGGGAGGTGCTGTTTTCCAGTGTGAAAAGTCTTGGTGATGACTTGGCCTTCCTGAAAACACTATATACACTGGTTTGCACAGTAGCTAAAGGTGGAATATTTGTAGATGAGAGCGTTTCCTGTAGTACTTTCAAGAAAAATAAATGTTTTTTGCCTTTTTGATTACATGCTTTTTTAGTCTTTTGGGGGCAATTAAATTTTCTAAAAATGCATGAAATGGCCTTTAGAGAGCTCCAAACTTCAAATTTTCTCGGGGGGACATGCCCCCGAACCCCCCTAGCAGGAGTGGGTCCTCGGGTGGAAACTACTCACTCAAAATCCTGGATCCACCCCTGCACCGTGGCTTAAAGATCCAGCCATCGCGGAACTCAAGGAACAGAGAGACCGCCTACGATCTGATCAACCAAGAGAAACTTCCTGGAAAGAATTTTGTCATCTAAGAAATCAAAAGAAGTTTGGAAAGTAATTCACGGTATCCTACATCCGAGCCCCCAGCGAATAACTATGCAACCAGACAAGCTAAACAATTTCTTTGCATCCACGGCCGAACGCACCATTGGCATCAACGCCCACCATGTTGATGATTACGCCTCAATTAAAAACTTGATTCAATCAATCCCTGCAAACTTTGTTAACGATTTTAAATCAGGACCGTTACTCTTTAAGAGGTCATTCATGAGTTACGCAACATTCGATCAGACTGTTCATCTGGTCCTGATGACATCCTTGCAAACATGATCAAAATGGTTGCAGATTATCTGGGGTCTCCGCTTACTGATGTCATCAACACCTACATCAAGAACTTGTACTTTCCATCTGCTTGGAAGCTCGCGCGCATCTGCGCGATTCCTAAAGGGGGCCAAATTAAATCCGAGAAAGACTTAAGACCTATATCAATATTACCAGTGCTTTCAAAGGTTTATGGACGACTGATTTTCCGTCAGCTGTCTGTTTTTATTGATAAGAACAATGTTCTCAACAATAACATTTCTGCCTATCGAAAGGGATAATCGACTACTACTGTACTTCAAGCTATACGAGACGACATAGTAAAAGCCATGAAACGTTCGGAGGTATCTATGATGATCTTAGCCGACTTTTCCAAAGCCTATGATACGATCTGTTTCAGAAATCTCATCACCAAGATGAGTAAACTAGGTTTCCCTAGAGAATTCCTGATATGGACACTCAATAATATTATCCATCGTAAACGATTTGTACAGATCGATGACAAGTGCTCAGAGATTGAAAACGTGAATTTTAAGGTTCCACAATGCTCCATCTTGGGTCCGGTGCTATTCAATATTTATGTTGCTGATCTTCAGGAGAACGTAAATGTCAAATGCTTCCAGTATGCGGACAACACAACAATCTACGATCATGCTTAAATATCTGACCAAAATAACTGTAGAAACACTATCTCCCAATCAATTAATAAATTAAGTGCCTGGTCTAAGCAGAGTACCCTCGCCTTTAACAACGACAAAACCAAGGTTATGATCCTATCCACCCTGCAAATGTTTAGAGTACATCACCTTGACGAGTATGATCCTAACATCGTAGTCAGTGGTTATAAACAAGAACGTATTAAATCTTGTAAACTGCTTGGAGTTCACATCAATGAGCATCTTAAGTGCGGACGATCACATCAAGCACACGGTATCTGGATGCTACGCCATTCTTGAAGAAAATTGAAATACCTGGCCAAATATGAGCTTAGATAGCAACTGGTAGAAACATTGATTTTTTCAAAACTAGATTACGTCGATCTGGTTTGTTAACCTTCACCACAATTCTTACCTCGCGGTTTCAACGAGTTCAATTTGCTCCCACAAGTTTTGTACTCGGTCACTATGTGTCACTAAAGAACTTTCGGGATGTACTGAAAATTGGATGGCTTCCAATCAATGGGAGAAGAGATTTGAACCTCCTGAATTTATCCTTTAAAGCTTTGCATAACACTGAGACTTTGCAGGGTTGTCAAAATAAGTCGACAACCGGCGCATTTCACCGGCTATTCCGAATACTGCGCCGGCTACTTTGACAGCTAGGTTTGTTCTAGACATGGTATTGCGGAAATAAAACTGTTCAGTTAATAATTCGTTGGAAGCCAAATCGGAACAGAGGCAATAAAACAGTTATTTTGCCTAAAAAGTACAATAAAATTTGTGCGTGCCACAGATGTCGACGCGATTGGCCGCGCTTGTAAAAGCGTCACTCGGTGCGATTAGAGATTATGTTAGTCAATGCTCGAGGTTTCAATGAAGTTATGGCGAGCGGAGGCGGCGGAGCGAAACGAAATAGGACTTTGCTTGATTTCAATTTCATTAAAGGTAAGGGTAAGCATTGATAAAAACTCGTCCTTTGCACGTTCTGCATTGTGTGGGTAAAAGATATCAGCCAGTGGACAGACCAAGGATTCAATACACCGATGCGGCAAAAGAGAAGTCGTTCTGGTTCACTGGTTCTTGTGACAGGGCTGGAAATAATTTCCGGAGAGTCTCCGTACACGATGACCGGCCAAATTCAATTTAGCTCTGTCACGTATTGTTTCTGTACTTTTGTAATACTTTTTTCTTTCATTCGAATTATCCTTTCTTTTGTGTCTCCTTTCCTCTTTTTTTTTTTTTTTTTTTTTCTCATCGAGTTCAGAAGGAATGAATACGTGATAAAGTACTTTCAATCTGCTCCAGGACTAACTTACAGCTAGTCGGTTTAGTTGGGTGCACGGAGAAAAGTAACGCCTTAATCTTGGGCATCCATTCCCTTTCTTGTATCTAACTCTTGAGGGAGGACAAAAGATACCAAACAACAGAAAATAAAGTGACGTGTAATCAGCTCGCTTCGTTGTGGCGACTAAGCCTTCGTTGCGGCAGCTAAGCCTCCGAACCTAGTTTAATTGCAGTATGAAACAGTATTCTTCACCCTTTACTGCTGCATTTATTATCATTTGTTCATTGATTCATTTACCTCTAATTGTCTCATGTTTGAAACTTACTATAGGTAACTTTGTGAAAATAATAGAATCAAAGTAAAACTGAATCTCTTAAGAAAAGTTTGCAAAGTCTTATTTCAGCCTAACTTTTGTGCCGTCATCAGTTTATCGGGTTGAATCCGTTAACTTTGATTAAACAAGTTCTGTTAGAAATACTTCACCAATTCAAGCGTGTAAAAACATAGTCAAAGGATACAACACAGTAGAATGATGATGGCATGAGTTTTTTCAAAACATGGCTTTAATAAATTATTAGTGAAGTTATAAACATTTAAAGAAAATAGTTATTGGATTCTGAAATACATCCTTATGCAAAATACTTGTCATCTTCATCTTTTGTATTGTTTGTGTCATCACATTCCGTTGTTAAATTTTTGATGATTCCCTGTCAAATTTCGTTGACGATCTTCACCCATTTTATTTCGATTCTGCCGATCGAGTTTACTATGAAGCACTTGAGTCAATTGCATGGTAGGCTTTTTTAATTACATTTGCTGTCAGTCACTGAAAATAGCTAAACGCATCTCAATCGCTAATAACCCCTAAAAATCAAAACAAAATAAAAGACGACAGAACAGAGAAAAACCAAATTTTAAATTGTTCATAATACTAAAATCTTCAGAGTTTTTTAAACGACCAATTTTGACAGGTCGGTTATACAGTCCGATGACGCTAGCAAAATAGTTAGGTCATTCGTCATCAGATGGTTGCAAGCGTTAACGATCTCTCACTTGATTGGCACATTTGAAATAATGATTATGCTAGTAGAAATGTCCTTTTTTTGGGCACGATTATAGAAAATAAATTCAACAGTAGTTTAAATATGCGCATTAAAAACAAAGGAGATCTTAGGATAAAGGAGGGTGATGATAGAAGGTAATGACATACCTATCGGATCAGATCAATACTGGCAAATCGTGACAGGAGAAGTGAGAAGAGGAGAAAGTGGTCCAAAAGTTTTACATACAAGGTAGGTTTGGATTTATGTGGACCCAATAAAGAGCTCAACGTGTGACTGTGACTCATCTGTTAACTTGGTTTCCAGAACCCATGTCCTAAGATGTGCTGCCGAACCGTCCCAACCTCTGAAGTTTGACCTTACTGGAGAGTTCAAACGCTTCTGGGACCTGGAGTCATTGGGAATATCGAGTCCTGAACAATAATTTCTTAATTATTTCATTGACAGCATCTCCTTTCAGCTAGGAAGATATGAGATACATCTACCATGGACGAATATTCACCCAGTTCTGCCAGACAACTATGAGACCAGCCAAAAACGCCTGATTAGTCTATTGAACCGCCTGAGACGAGAATCGCAAGTTTGTTAAAATACGATGCCGTGATCAGAGACCAGATCGAGAAGAGGATTGCGGAGAAAGTCAGTGAATCAACGTCTGTTTGAGTTGGAGGGGTTCACTGCCTGCTTCATCATGCTGTCATTGGAAGAGATAAAGAGACAACAAAACTCGGGATTGTCTATCATCCTGCAAGTGAAACGCAGTCTCCTTGAATGATTGTCTATACACCGGGCCAGTACTTTCGCAGAAGATCGTGGACATCTTCCTGAGATTTCGAACGCATAGAAAGGTGCTGGCTGGAGATATTGAAAAGGCACTCCTAACCGTGTCGGTATCAGAACAAGATAGAGATGTCCCGAGGTTCCTGTGGTTTGATGATGTGAAGAAAGAGTATCCTGAAGTAGTTCTGCTGCAGTTTGCAGGAGTTGTGTTTGACGTGAAGGCATATGGCGCTTTTGTTTACCTCCAAGTTCATAAGGCCTCTCGCACTTATGTGAAGTTTGCAGCATCCAACACAAGAGTAGACCCACTGAGTAGCCAATTAATTCCCAGATTAGAACTTTTAGCAGCAGTCATACCTGCGAGACTAGTCACAGCCATTGAGGGGGCGCTGAGATGTGAAGATCCTACAAAAAAGATTACATGTTAAAGGGATTCTGAGGTGGCACTTTGCTGGACTAGAGGCATAGACAAAGAATGGAAACAGTCTGTAGACAACAAAGTCAAAAAAATTAGAAGCCTTCTCCCAGTGGAAAGCTGGAGGGACTGCCCCAGGGACAGCAATCCTGCATCCGTCCAATCAAAAGGATTGAATTCATCTAAGCTCGCAAAAAACACACTTTGGGCCATGAGAGAATGGTGAAGTCAGTTGAACAGTCAGCTAGAGGCGCTAGGCTCAACATTACAAGGAGCTGTTGACTGTCATCATCGAAACGGAGATGATACTGAATGCAAGCCCATCGTCCTATGTAACCTCTAGAGATGATGAAGAGCAACTAACACCTTCACATTCACTTTATGGCAAAATATTAATGAGTTTGCCTGATTACTTGCACCGGTGATTTGATGGACCCCGACTTTGAACTAAATCAGCCGTTCCGAATTGGTTCAGACACTGTACTTCACATTAAATTAATTCTTTGAGTTTGACTAGCCTTGGTTGAAGTACCGCGTCTGAACTGCCTAAAGAGTGAAACTGCAAAAAATTTCACAATGCATATTAAATGTCAAACTAACTTCAATGCTTCAACCCCACAGAATCCATAACCAATTTTTGCAGTAGAACTGTTTTGCCTATTTTTGCTATTCACCAGTCGAAAGTCCTAAAAATTCTCCAAATTAACTCTTTTTCTAGTCCGACTATATAACAAGTTGAACAAGTAAAACTAGTTCGAATATTTTAATTTCTTAAACCAAGTAACAGATGTTGAGGAGCTACTAACACCGTCACATTTATTTCAAGGCAGAAGATTGATGGGTTTGCCTGATTACTTGCACCGGTGATTTGATTAACCCCGACTTTGAATTTCCATATTCCAGTCCATATAGATTCAACCCCAAACCTTAAGGTTGTACGACTAAGAAGAAATCTGAGAAGACAAGCTGCTGTGGACGCAGAGAACAGCAGAAGAGCATTGATTGAGGAATTAATCCAAGTTGTGGACAAATTAGCTTTGGACAGCAATTTCAAGTTGTTTATTCTTAGTGTCAACCTGTTTTTCAGTTAGATCTGTTTAATGTAACTCAGCTGCTCAACAAGTGGGGAGAGTGATAGAATTTGTGAGCGTGACTAAACGTAATTAGGCGTGACTAGGCATGACACACTGATAGACGCACTTTACTTTGAAAGAAATCCTCGCTTGTGTTGTGTTTGTGAGTACAGTCCCGATTTGTAAGATTGTTCATATTGGAACCTAGAGTGGACCTAAAATACTCTCACAAAATCCTGGCTACAGAACTTCATTCGGTCGAAATTAATTCATCGAAGAAAATTGATATTTAGTCATTGGTTTAGCATACAGTTGTAAACATGGCAGACGCCATAGATTCTGGCAGCAATCTGGTATGGTGGTTTAACCATTTTGAACTGCTTCAACTGATAAGAATACATTGTGCAATTTTTTAAATTGAAATGTTTTCGCTAGTTTAACTATTTAATTTTATGAACTGATTAAACTAGTTGGATTATTTTTGATTGGGCAGTTTGGTTCAACCGGCAAAATGTCAATAAAGTGATAACAGTTAATGTGCAAAAATTGCACAATCTATTTTAATTGGTGGCTCACATAGTAAAACTACCTTGAATGGTTCAACTAAACAAAATGTATATTTAGCTCATCAGTTCAGCTGCACAATCTGAACAATTTAGCGACTTCACGTGGTTTAACAGTCAAAGGTCAACTGAGAAAGATTGCACAGTCTATCTCAAGTGATTGGAGTACTTTAAATGACCAAATCAACTTCAAGGAATAAACGGCACAAGCTCCATAATCTGGATAAGTACCTTTAGGTATTTAAAATGACAAACTATTTTAATTAATTCGAATTGTTAGATAGTCAAACTAGGGAAGACAGTTAAACTGCACAGATTGCAAAATCTTTCTTAATTGGTTGAAGTAATTGAAATGGTTCAACTGCACAAATATGGCCATTTTGAACAAGTACACTAATCAATTAAGATAGATTATGTAATTTGTGCAGTTTAACTGTTTTAGCTATTTTGACTTTTTGATTTCAGCTTTGTTTCACCAAAAACTAAGTTTTTCCGCGTTTCCTGGTAAATGACGCTACTTTCCACTTTAAAAAAAGGTCAATTAAGGATCAATTAATCAACTGCACTATCTAACTGAATTCGCTCAAGAAGTTTAAACTAACAAATCAAGTAAATTCCTTTAACCAGTTAAACGGTCAAACTAGCACGGAATTAAATCTCAAATCTACACATATGTAACTCTTGCGTAAAGGATCGTAATTATAAAGCCTCTTCTTTATGGAGAGTTTCTGCATTCCGTAAATATGCGAAATTGCAGAAAAAGTGTACACTGCTTAAAGGATATTGAATATTCCCAAAGGATAAGGATAAAAGATGGATATAATTAACTACTTTCTATTTAGAGAAACACCTACAGAAGTAAAATAATTATGGCTCGTCCATCTTCAGTAAAATTGCCGCGGTATTTTGACCAGTTTCGCTTTTAACACTTTGCACTTCTTTAATTTTCTTTAGGCATTTCCGCTATCTTTTCTTTACGAACCTTTAAAATTTTCTACGCACAAATCAATGTTTTAGATCTGAAGTTATTTCGAAGGCAGGAATGCCTTTAAGGTTTGGTCAAGCAATCATTTTATTAGCTATGCAGCAAGACAACTACCGTTTTAATACTGGTAAGGGGCAGTAACTCCTGCTTGAGTTTAAGGCACGTAAATAAATTATCCATTTTATGCATGTCAGTGCTAGCAAACTTGCCAAAGGAAGTAAAGATGATGAAACCAATTTCAATGCAAAAGTTTTTCGTTAAATAAAACGGAGAGGATGACAGTAGTTCAGTTGATAGCGGGGAAAAATGTCGTGGACAGAGAGGTTACTAAAAACTAAGAAAGGCATGGATTGATCTTTTGGAAAACCATTATCTTCGCTGAAACGAAACCAAGGTTTCTCGAAGAGAGAAAGGGAAAGATCGAACGTTTAGGACAACTACTTATCGGTGAAAAAGAGCTGAGCAGCGTGATTAGTTAGCAAGATGCAAAAACCTTTTTTTAGTGCACCTAGGCCAAAAACAGCGTAATTGAAGAAAAAAAAAAAAGCCGTTATCGGTTCGATAAAGCAAAAAAAAGCTTGATTTGGCGGCGAAAAAGGAAAAACCGTGGATGGTTTACCTTAAGGGGACTAGCTGAAACAGGCAGAAGACCTTTGTTTTGGTGTGGTCCGGGGTAAACAAGCGAAAAAACGTTTTTAGCGAGAGAAGTCCAAAGAGACGTATTTAGTGTCATAGAGGCTTAAAACTTAGTCTTCGGTGAACTAAAGCTGAAAACAGCGTAAATCTAGCGACAAACAAACAGAAACATATTTTAGGTGTCATAAAGCTAAAAACAGCGTAGTTTATTAACAAAAAGAGTAAATCGTTAGTTTTCGTGATATAAATCCCAGAACAGCCCAATTTAGGTGCAAACGAACCAAAACATGTTTTCTATGCGAAAAAGCCGAGAAAAACATGGTTTTGGTGCGAGAAACCCGAAAAACGCGTCATCTCGGAACAAAAAAGCGAAAACGGTTCCTGTGAGATAAAGTTCAAAGCTTACGAATCGAGTTGCAACCAGAGGTAAACCTGTTTTCAGTGAGATAGAGCTGAGAACAGCGTAATTTGGCCTCAAATACAAAATAGTATTGAATTAAATACGGTGCATTAACGCTTAAAACAACGTCTTTTATCGGCAAGAAAACGAAAAAGTGTATTGAGCAACAAAGCTGAAAACAGGGTGATTTAGGTAAAACGTTCTTCTCGTTTAGATAATACTCAAAACAGCGCGATTTAAATGGAAACAAACGACACTATTTGTCTGGTGCAAAAAAAGCTGAAAACAGCTGGGTTAATTAGGCTGGATTGTGTAGTTTGAAAATTTTAAACAGTTTTGGCTATTCGAATCAAATAGCGATTTGACTTGAATCAATTAAACGAATTTACCTAGTTGGTGCATTTTGTCCCTATCAGCCGTTAAAGCCTATTTGACCATTCCTTCCAACTGAGCCAATTCAGCTAAATTGCAAATTTCTTAGAATTTAACTGAGATCGCTTGTTTAAGCAATAGAAGTTTGAAGCTGATCAGGGTAGTTTAAGATTGATTTCCCGAGAGACAACTTTTCTCGC